TTCTTCATGTTCAACCACCCAGTCTCTGCCAACTTATGACTAATATGGTCATATTTACGAATTCCGTAAATAAACCTCAGACAACCGTTCTGAAGGTTCTGGATACGACGCCCACTCGCCTCCGTTAAATTTGGACCATAAACAACGTCGCAGTGATTTAATTTGCTTAGAACCAAGCTATCACACAGCATAATTTTTAATTTTTTACTTAAGACATCCCTATGGGCATACAAGAGACGCAGGGCGCCATACCCACCCCTCAAGCACCTGGCCACATGCTCCTCAAACCTCAACTGATGATCCAATGTGACTCCTAAAATTTTTATATCATCAGAAACAGTAAGAGGTTCGCCATCCACCACCAATTGACCGGATATCAAAGGCTTAATCGCTCTCCTTGTGACACTACCGCAAAACAGAAGAACAGAAGACTTAAATGGATTTAGCACAAGTTCATGGCGTTTCGCAACATCAGAAAATAATGCTATATCTGAGTTAAATTTTATGCAGGCATCAACCCAATTATTTGGATTAAAATTCAGCAGAAGCTGTGTATCGTCTGCATACAAGTTAATCTGCGAATGCTTGAGAACCTGGTCAAAATCAGATGTATAAATAGAGAACAATAGTGGCCCCAAAATTGACCCCTGAGGGACTCCACGAGTAACAGACAGAGCGCTCGACACTTGACTATTAATCTTCACAACTTGAGACCTGTCCGACAAAAATGACTTTATCAAAATTGCAGCTTGATTTCCAAGACCAAAATAATTAAGTTTAGATGCAAGTATATTATGATTTATTGTATCAAATGCTTTGGTGAAGTCCAACGATAACAAAAGTGCGGCTTGCCCGGCCTCTCTAGAAGCAAATACATCATCAGTAAGGTTCAATAAAGCTGTTGCGCAGCTGAAACCCGAACGAAACCCAGATTGTTGATCTGGCAGTATACTATACCTTTCGCAGTGTGCTCTAAGTTGCTTTTGCAAGACTCTCTCTAAAATTTTTGACATTACTGGGAGGATACTGATCGGTCTAAAATCCCTCAGGGCAGACGGGGAAGATACTTTAGGTAATGCAATTACTTCAGCCATTTTCCAGGCATCCGGAATAACTGATTGATGAACAGCAGCGTTTATTACGTGAGTAATATAAGGAATGAGAAAAGGAGTACACAAGTCAATCATCCACATTGAGATACCATCAGAACCCACCGCTGCAGTTTTAATGTTATTAATTATTATAGATACTTCATGTTTATCAACAGGCATAAAAGCTTGCATTATCTGCACTCAAGGGTTTACATTATTTTGATAAAATATGGGTAATTCGGGATCGGTCTGGATATAAAGAGAATCACCGTGAACAAAATAATTATTTACATTGTTTGGAAGAAAAATGTTAGGCACTTTGTTATCGATTTTTTTATTTATATTTAGAAGTTTAATCTTTCTCCAAAGAGCCTTTGGATCTTTACTACGTAAGGCGTAATCATAGTATGCCTTCTTTTCAGCCCGCACCGTTGATGTTACCAGATTGCGATGCAACTTGTATGAAACCCAGTCTTGAGTTAGCTTAGACTTTTTGAATTTTTTAAGCGCATCATCTCGAATAGACATTAGTAGTTTAGTATTATCTGTTAGCCAGGGACTGGGAGGCTTTGTAAACCGTCTAGTTTTTAAAGGTGCATGCAAATCCATCAGAGTAAGTAAACAATTATTGAAAAAAGTTATTTTATCATTCACATTTTCTTGATCATATATGTTTCTCCACGGAATTGATTTCAAATCGTTCAAGAGTTGTGGAAAATTAANAGTTCTAATGGGTGTTTTTACTGGGCACTGCCGATTAAAAGCACACCTCAACTTGTTGGGTTTAGCCGACGATGTTGAATGCCGACTATGTGCGGAGGAAGCAGAGACGGTTGAGCATGTTTTATGCCACTGCCCTGCCGTTAACCGTATCAGATTCTCGATTTTTGGGTCGCAGTTTATCTCCTCAAAAGATCTGAATGACCTTTCGCCGAGCAAGGTATTAATGTTCGTTAAGAGCATTGGACTGCACCGTGAAATTTGATAATGATATCTATCGGGGTATAATAGATCCTTAGGGTCGCAGTGCAAGGTTGGTTGGTCCGCCTACCCGATATGTATTCTATGTAATGTAATGTATTCAATACTTAGTTCATCAGGTTACCAATAATGTACGCTAGTTCACTTTAATACTGAATGATTTGCACCATTTTTCATTGAAAAAATGAACCAAGTCCAAGTAGCTTAAGATTCTGTGATAAAGTGGGCTAAGCTATAATCTGTCATTGCAATCTTCATGTGAATTTCTTGTGTGGTTAATTTAGTGATGGATTTGAACACAGGTTCTAATAAATAATTCGAAGACTTAAGTCTTTCTGACCATGGTATGTACATAAACAGTAAAAATTCGTTATAACACTCTTCTAAGGACATAAGAAAAAGAGCGCCATAACCGGGAAAATGCTATAACTGAGAAATCATAAAGATGCTTAAACTTACTTTTAAATTTCTATCCGTTTAAACAAAAAGTTTACTTTTGTAAAATCCGAAAACCACAACAGATATGTTTATTTTCAAAAAGAGACATGAAGAGAAATGAGTTGAAGAATGAGGCTTCACAAGTTTCAGAAAATTATTATGCTTGTACATTTGACTTGCAGAAGGGTCTAGCATTTCCAAAACTAACCACGTCAGTCGCTTATTATAAACGAAATTTGTACATGTATAATTGCGGTGTTCATCCAATTAATTCCGGACCACCTGAAATGTTTGTATGGAATGAATCAGAGGGAGGCAGTGGTTCGCAAGAAATATCTACAGTGCTTTACAAGCATTTAAAAAATAACGCTAAAAATTGTACTGAAATCGAAATATTAATTTATCAGTGCAATTACTGAAGCTGTGCAATGAAGCGTCTACTGCAGCCAAGACAATTAATGTGATATTCATGATATCTGGGCATTCCTATCTGCCAAATGACGCTTTATGAATGCTTTATGGCCCAGATGACTGGATTAAAATAATTAAAAGCTCAAGAAAGAAAACGCCATATAAGGTCACTGAGCTTAAATTCAATGATTTTTTGTCAACCAAAGATTTATTAGAGCACATTACTAATAGAAAAATAAATACCAACAAAGAACCTGTAAATTGGTTGAAGATTCAACGACTTCAGTTCAAAAGAGGACACCCATTTTCAATATTTTATAAGGACACAGCTGATAACTTACTTCCATTCAAAGAAATTAACATAAAAAGAAACAACAAAAATGGTAGAAATCTTTCTTCGTTGGCATCAATAGATCAAAAACCGCTGTACAACGCTAGGCGCAAAGATATGATTTCATTACTTCCTTTCATACCTCCAATCTACCACAACTTTTATAAGTCATTACCGATCGAGTGAAATTCCAGAGGAGTGTAATGACACCGAACAATATGACGTTATTTATGAATGATTGTGCACATATGTTATGAATAAAATTGTTGTTTTTTCTAGTATTTTAATTTCTTTTGTGAGGTTAACTGTTATAAACTGTACTACTTTTCTTACATTTTCCTTAAGAAAAATGTTTCTATAAAAGAAATTGTTATTACTTTTTCACACCGTATTAATAGTTGGACTTTATCGAATTGTAAATGGATCGAAATCAAACGGTCCGTTTTCTCGAAACGAACTTAAGTGGACTTGGTTCACTTTACTTCTGACCCACTCAATTATAAGTTCATGACAAAATGATGACATTTGTTACAAATAAGTTTTAAATTCATTAATTTTAGACATGAACCCATCAAAATTTATTATTACTAATCTGTTCATATCAAAAAAACTCCCAGTTTATTTAAATTGTAGAACAAAATCAACAGCACGTTACAATCTATATGCTGCGGTGACCCATTGTATCTTTGATTTAGATGGAACAATACTCGATAATCAACAATCAATAGATATGGCAAATAAAGAGATTTTTGATATGTATCATTTACAATACACACCTGAATGGAGATATAAATTAATGGGAAAAACATGCAAATCAATGTGGGAAACAGTAATAAACGAGCTAAGTCTCGAGGAATGTACATGGCAGAAATTGGATCTTGAACATTCCCAATTATATGATAAATACTTAATGGGTGCTCAATTAAAACCGGGTGTTGCAACATTATTACAACATTTACACAAAAATAATATACCCATGGCTGCAGTTACATCATCATCTCAATTAATGATGAAGAAAAAAACTTCACATATCAAAGAACTCATGGCAATGTTTTCGTTTATTGTGTGCGGTGATGATCCTAAATTAATAAACTCAAAACCAAGCGGTGAAATTTTTACAATTTGTAAAGGATGTTTCAAAGATAACCCCCCATCTCAATCTTGTTTGGTGTTTGAGAACACCCCAGTTGGAGTTTTAGCAGCTGAAAATGCTTCTATGAAAGTTGTTGGAATTTCAAGCGTTTTAACACCTTTCTCATCACTTAGACGTGCCGATAAAGTACTTAATCATTTTAATGAGTTTAAACCGGAAGATTATGGATTACCTTCATTCTCAGAAGTAATTCATTGAATAAATGTAACAAAGAACTTTCTGAAATAAATAAATCTTTATAATCTTATAAAAAATGTAATATAACATTGACATAACCTCACTTTTATCTGTCAAAAAAAGTTTGTAAAGGTTATGTTTGGAATATTTACAATTTTTAAATTAATCTAAAAATGTGTGATTCTGAAATGAAATCGACGGAGTGTCCGATTTGCAATAAAAATTTTCCATTAAATAAAATAGAACAACACGTCAATACATGTTTATTTTTAAATTCAAAGGAAAATGTGCCACATTCGAAAAGAAAAAGAACACCTTCACCGGAATCCAAATTAAACGCACAAAAATCACCTAAATTCACGTTTAAAAGTTCACCAAAATCATCTAAATTAGCAAATATTTTTGTACGACCCAAAGATGAAGTACCTTCAACTTCGGTGAAACCGAACAACGAGCAAAAATTAAAAGAAAAAACCGAATGCGATTTAAACTTTATGGTACCGTTAGCAAAACAAGTTGTTCCAAAAACTTTAAATGACTTCTTGGGTCAACAACATATCTTGGGAGATGAATCGGTTTTAAAAAATCTTTTAGAAAAACAAGAAATCCCAAATATGATCCTTTGGGGACCACCCGGTTGTGGAAAAACCTCTTTGGCTACAGTTATTCAAGAGATTTGTAAAGCAAATAGCACCAAATTTAAATTTGTATCTTTATGTGCTACAAATTGTGGCGTTAAGGATGTCCAAAACATTGTTTCTTCTGCAAAATTAGAATCAAAATTCAAAAAAAGAACCATTCTCTTCATGGATGAAGTTCACAGATTTAATAAAAAACAACAAGATACTTTTTTACCTCACGTTGAAAAAGGTGAAATTATTCTAATTGGGGCAACCACAGAGAATCCTTCTTTTACAATAAACAACGCACTTTTAAGTCGATGTCGAGTTATTGTATTTCAAAAATTAACCGATGAGGATCTTTTAACAATCTTAATAAATGCGGCGAGACGATTTAACGTTCAAGTTATTCAGGGGGGTTTTGATGATCGAGGTGTATTAGATACGGTTTGTATTGAAAAAACTGCTTTGAAATGGCTCGCTGATGTAAGCGATGGAGATGCTAGAATCGCGTTGACTAATTTACAATTAGTTTTACAAAACAATCGTGATAAAAAAACGATTATAAACGTTGAAGATATAAAAGAGGGGATTCAAAAATCTCATTTACTTTACGATAGAAAAGGGGAAGAACATTACAATATCATTTCAGCCATGCATAAATCTATAAGAGGATCTGATGCGGATGCCGCGCTTTATTGGACCACAAGAATGATTGTAAGCGGAGAAGATCCAATGTTTATAGCTCGAAGAATGGTTAGAGCAGCTAGCGAAGATATAGGTAATGTTTGTATTATTTTAAAATATCTTAATTTAACTTTTTTCTTAAAGGTAATGCAGATCCGAACGCTCTTCAATTAGCTATTTCAACAATGCAAGGGTGCCATTTACTCGGAATGCCGGAATGCGATGTATTGTTGGCGCAATGCGCGATTTATTTGGCAAGGGCCCCGAAGTCGCGCGAAGCCGATTCCGCTTTGGCAGAAGCGAAACGAGTCATTTCGGAATGCCGCGGATCTCAACCCGAAGTTCCTATGCATATTAGAAACGCACCGACGAAATTAATGAAAGATTTGGGGTATGGGAAGTTAAAACCGGGGGAAATTCCATCGTTTATGCCAAAGGGATTAGAAGATGTTTCATTTTTTTAAGATTAAAAATATTATTATTAATTTTTTTTGTTTTATTACATTGGTTATTTATTTAATAGTATATTAAAAAACAAGTTTCGTAAGACACGCTTGAAATGCACGAATTCAAGTTGAAAAACGAGTGGCGAAGCCACGAGTTTTTTAATGAATGAGTGCTTTAAGTCTTATAAAACGTGTTTTTTATGCTATTTTTTGTAATTCGCCTTTTTATCCTTTTTTTTAACAAAAATAAAATAAATTTTGACAATGTAGGGAAATAGGTATGTAGCAGTTGGTAATAACGTAACACTTGAAAATAGAAATTTGAAATGACAATTAGAAACTGTCAAAACACAAAACGTATTCACCTGATAAAAATGTTTCATGTACACCTCCCAAAATAAGAGAAATTGCTCAATGTTCAATGTCCTCATCATTGTGGACCTTATATTCGATGTTAAGAACGCGTTTAAACATCCATAGACAAACACTGTCACATTGACAACTAGAAAAATTAATGACCCAATGTCACCAACTTGAACTGGTTCCATAAAATGTTACTAAAATCTCATTACAGCATCGGATGCTGTAAGGAGT